CACTTTCATAAAGTTTACTACATGTAATTATATTAATAACTAGTATTAATAGTACACCTTTCTCACAGTTCTTTTCAGCACTCACTCCCAAAATTAACCAAATCAATTAATAGATGTTATTATTACCAATAAATTGATGATGCTCATTTTATTAACATCGGAATGAAGAAGGGCTGAGTTGACTTTGCCAGGATGTGAACTTGCATTTTCGAACAGGCTTTGCAGCCCAGGAACTATCCAACTGAGCTACCTCATAATTATATTGTGCTATCTTTTAAACTGCTCAATGACACACAAATTATTCTAACCTATGTTCTAAGTGATACACCTATATAGCATTTGGTCTTTAAAAATATCTAGAACATGTCCCATAAAACTGATTTCCACACACCAACATATCTGGCAGCTTGCAGTGAATCTGGCAGGAATCTGCCTTAGTGTTAAGTTGTTCTTATAGAAAAAAGACAGCTTTGACCTACTTACCATAAGTAGAACTTCATGTATCGGGGGGAGGGGGGGTGCTAAGTAGTCAATTATTCTCCTTTTGATTGTTTTCTAACATGATCAGAACAATCACTGTGTGGTGTATTAGTCTGCATTAGAAAGCTCACAATTTGCATGTTATATGTCATTATTGTCCCATAAAGCAGAATTGTCACATCTTGGTTTTTTTGTAGAGTCATTTAACTAGCTAAAAGTTAAACATTTTTATTTTAAATTCTAAACCATTTTAATGTTTTAACTTAGATTGTTCACCTGGTTATCTGGGCAATTTAATCCAACAAATATGGAATGGCCAAGCATGCATGCGTTAATATAGCACATTTCCACAGATGCTTGAGCACTCATGAACGTAACTAGCACATCATGAGGCATGACTGCTGACCCATATCCAACTCCACCGTTGCCACCAATAACACACTGGACACCTTTTAAGTGGATAAGGGCAATGGCCACAGCTTTATTAAACCATAACATAATATTGTTAAAACCTATCAGCTGTTTGGTGAGAGCCCAACAAAGCCGCCACTGCAAAATTTTCTACAAATTTAATACCAGCCCACAAGCCATGCGCAGCAGTCATGCTTCCCCTTCCCTATTTGTCCAGGGGGAGACTAATGTATCACATTGGACACATGGAGTGCTGGTTAGTAAATCTGTTTTTTTTTGTTTGTTTTTCCTGACCTTTGCTGCACTAGTCACCATAGTTTTCACTTCAGTTAGAGGGAATGGAGCCAATTCCACTTTAATGTTCATTGCCACATTAAAAATGAATACGCACTGTATCAAATAATTCATAGTAAAGCATTATCTATTTTGATTCCTTACAGGGATACTGTAGTGCCAGGAATACAAAGCTGTATTTCTGGCACTACCAATCCCTCTGCCTCCCCCCTCTCTCGCGCCCCCTTCTACCCGGTAAATAAAGGGTTAAAAACACTTTATTTACTTACAATATCCCAGCGCTTGGTCGAAGCTCCGCCCCCTCCTCCATCCCACAACAAGCATGGTCTAATGCGCATGCGCTCCAAATGCCGCTAGTGCATTACACCTCCCCATAGAAAAGCATTGAATCAGCGTCCAGTATCAGATAACAGACCAAAATGATTCCAGAAGCCCTCTAGTGGCTGTCTGGTAGACAGTCACTGAGGGCAAAATAAGAGATGTCCAGGCACTCCTTGGTTCAAGACAGGCACTTTATTAGGAACCACAACAGCAACGTTTTGACCCAAGGGTCTTTTTCAAGCTTGAAAAAGACCCTTGGGTCGAAATGTTGCTGTTGTGGTTCCTAATAAAGTGCCTGTCGCTGTTGTGGTTCCTAATAAAGTGCCTGTCTTGAACCAAGGAGTGCCTGGACCTCTCTTATTTTACCCTATTAATTTTGGAAATCTGGTGTTTGATTCCTGTTCAGCAAGCACCCTGGCTCAGATTCACGGAAGTGAGTGCAGTTCCACATATACTACAAAAAGCCACTGGGGCAGACTTAGTGCTGCACATTGCAGTTCTTTTGACATGTGCACCACTTGAACAATAAATAACATCCAAATAACATTTAACTTGTAACATACGGCCTACCAAAGAGGCCCCAGCTCCATAAATTAACTGTAGGGGTGTACCAAGACACCCCTAGATTCGTAGCCACCGAAGAGCTCGAACCTACGAACCTTATTTCCATCCGGCCTACTGAAGCCTAGACCTTGGCCTGTCCAAACGGGAAAACACCTCAACACCTAGGGAGGGTGGGAGGGACAATTAACAGGTAAGTGAGGCTCCGATTAAAATGGCCACTCTCTAAGATGGCCGTTATTTAAGCTAACCATACTCCTCCCCCCCACCGTATTATCCTAAACCAACCCCTAACCCCATTACACCTTCCCAGTCTCTAGCCCACTCTCTGGCCCTGTCAATGCCCACTCTTCCCACTGCGCTGTTCCATGAGCTCCAGGAACTGCATTGTTTAACATTGCAGGACTAAGCGCAAAAGGAACACAGCACCCATACCACGTCAATGAGCTGAAGAAGTCTGGGTGCCTACAATGTCCCTTTAATTATGTTACGTTTACTTGCTGTAGAAACATATGAATGGCTGAACTATTAAGAACCCATTCTGTCTTCCTATTTATATCAATTGTCAAATGCCACCTGGCATTGTCACATTTTCTTCTCCTACAATGGACAAAAGAAGCGCAAAATAAATCATGGTTAGAGACATAGTAGTGGGACCTGATATCTGGTCTGACTAAACATTGGGGTCCTGATAAAAACCACACTTTTTAAAATTAATTGTAAACCACAATCCCGTTTAACAGATATCTCATCGTGACTTAATTTACATTGTGTCTATAGAGTACGTTGTGCTGGTTGGATGGCTTTATTTCTGATAATGTGACAGTAGTAAATAAAATCCTATCAAGACATAGTCCCAGGTACATATGATAAATGAAATGAATCTTGTCATTGATAGGAATAGTAAATGGCATTTTTAATTTTAATCTTCAACTCATCTCTCTACTAAAATAAAATACTGATGCGGCAATATTATGAAACATTTTAAATTGGTCAATCACAACGGATTTAAACTCCTCAGTTTTCAAAACACCTTTCTTCTTTTGTTCTTTTAAGTTTTGCAATAAAGCAGAAACATTCTTCCACATATTTTTACTGTTTGCGCACTTTGAATTTCATGATCCTGTTTGCTTGATTTGACAAATATCCCCAGCAGGTATATAAACAGGAACTGCTATACACATATATTGTTTTTATCAGCATAATAATGTGTAGAATCACGTTATTTTTAAATTACTCTTAAAATAAGGCACACGTGTCATTCTGTATGAAAATAAAATACATTCTTCTTTGTTAAATTTAAGACTGACTTTGATCTGACCCCATACTTCATCTGTCAACTGAAAGGTTCTGCAGATATATATATTGCCACTGGACAGATTACATTATGCCACTGGGAGTTTTCTTTATCATCAGATGAATTTCAGAAACAAAGGCAGTCTTAAACATGGCAGCAACAGGGGAAAGATAGATGGGATCAGATTTAGTTAGTAGCATATTTCTTAATGTTGAGATTTTGCTTCTCTCTGGAGTATTTCAAGAGCTGTGTAATTTCAAAAATAGCCAGAAATTATAATGTATGAAAATATAACTATAAAAACAATTGGTATCTTTTATTTTTAAGAAAAGAGATGTTAATACTTAACTCTTAAGGAATAGTACTTGGCTTTACAAATGTTTAAATGGACCAAATTCACTAACTGGACATATAAATGGATTATTTTTGCAGAACACTGAATTTTGCACACACATCCTAATGATAGGCAGAAAGTTGCGTTTACAAACAGACAGACATACAGAGTCAGGAATAGAGTTACACTAACACGCAAACCAAAAGGAAACAGTAAAGGTACACATACCAGTCCTCAGAGTGGCTGGGTTAGTGCCTAAAACAGATTTATGAAATCGAGGTCAGGATAACAGAAATACACAGAATCGATAGCCAGGATCAGGATAGCAGAGAGCAAGAACAGTCAAACAAGCCAAGGTCAGAAAACATGAAATCCAATACACTGTATAAACACACTCTCAGGTCACAAGAACCACAATAAGGCAAAGAAATAAGGAAAACCAGTAAACATATGTACCCTATACTGGATTGTGATTGGTTGCAGAGGACCATGATGTCACAAGCATGTATACATCATCAAAAAGTGACACATGGGCTGACACTATAAAAGGAGAGGAGTCCAAGTCATATGATGTCATAATGATTCACCAGGAAGCTATGGATGAGTGGGTGTGCTTCAGAAGTCAGAAAATGCATAATTTCTGTGATCACACAGCGCCGCGCATATTGTGACAGACAGACAGACAGACAGACAAACAACATGGAAATTACAATATATTCTATATTTTTTTTTAATTTTTCAATATAAATAGTATAAACAGGGTTAAATAATCAAGCTAAATAAAGACCATAGTATCGTTAGCAATTATTGCCATTTTATAAAATTCAAAACTCAAAGCTGTCTGTGTATTTGGTTCTGCTCACTTTGTGCATGGAATATATGAGTTTGAATGATGGAGGCTGTGTAAGATGTACCATATTCCCTAAAAGTCTAATAGTATGATCTGCACAGAATGAGTGGGCATTCGCAGAGAGCTGTGTATGCCTGAGAGATGCAGACTTTGTCAATTGTTGATCAGTGCAAGTAATGAATGTCTCAAGCATAGGCGTGCGCAGCCTATTGAATTAGGGTGTGCTCCATAAAGCACAAGCACACGCCGCGTATATATATGTATGTATGTATATATATATATATATATATAAAAATCACAATAGTTTCTGGCACTCATCCCATAACAAAAGCATTAATTCAGCAATGACCAGGTGCATCTCCGTCCAAAATATACAAATGGAACAAATTGAGAGCACTCATTGGATTTAGTAAAACAAAAAAATATATTAAATCAAACGCATATAAATCAACGTTTCGACCGTCTAGCGGTCTTTATCAAGATCATGATAAAGATTATGATAAAGACCGCTAGACGGTCGAAACGTTGATTTATATGTGTTTGATTTAATATATTTTTTTGTTTTACTAAATCTAATGAGTGCTCTCAATTTGTTCCATTTATATATATATATATATATACACACACATATATACACACACACACATACACTGCTGTGTGTGTGTGTGTGCTGTGTGAGGGTGCTGTTAGTGTGATGTGTGTGTGAGGGTGCTGGTAGTGTGCTATGTGGGTGAGGGTGTTTGTGTGTGCGCGCTTGTGAGGGTGCTGTTAATGTACTGTGTGTGAGGGTGCTGTTTGTGTGTGCGCTTGTGAGGGTGCTCTTAATGTACTGTGTGTGAAGGTGCTGTTTGTGTGTGAGGGTACTGGTAGTGTGCTGTGTGTGTGTTTGTTAGGGTCCTGTTTGTGTTTGTTAGGGTACTGTTAGTGTGCTGTGTGTGTGTGAGGGTGCTGTTTGTGTGCTGTGTGTAAGGGTGCTGTGTGTGTTTGTGAGGGTGCTGTGTGTGTGGGTACTGTATGTGTGTGTGTGTGGGTGCTGTGTATGTGTGTTGGTGCTGTGTGTCTGTGGGTGCTGTATGTGTGTGGGTGCAGTGTATGTGTGTAGGTGCTGTGTATGTCTGTGGGTGCTGTATGTGTGTAGGTGCTGTGTATGTCTGTGGGTGCTTTATGTGTGTAGGTGCTGTGTATGTCTGTGGGTACTTTATGTGTGTAGGTGTTGTGTATGTCCGTGGATGCTGTATGTGTGTTGGTGCTGTGTATGTGTGTAGGTGCTGTGTGTCTTTGGGTGCTGTATGTGTGTAGGTGCTGTGTATGTCTGTGGGTGCTGTATGTGTGTGGGTGCTGTATGTGTGTAGGTGCTGTGTATGTCTGTGGGTGCTGTATGTGTGTTGGTGCTGTGTATGTATGTGTGTAGGTGCCGTGTGGGTGCTGTGTGTGGGTGTGTGTGCTGTATGTGTGTGGGTGATTGTGGGGGTGGAGGTGGAGGTACATTACTTAATATCCCCCCTCTCTTCTTACCTTATGTAGGGAGGGGGGATTCTTGTTCCTGCTGCTTTCCCTGGTGGTCCAGTGGAGAGTGAACTCTAGCACCTGTGTCGATAGAGTTCCCTCTCGCGAGATCTGAGCGTTGCCGCGGCAATAGCTCCCCGGGTCCTCTCCTGCCTCCCTCACTGTCTGTGGGTCGGTGGGGAGGAAGGCTAAGAGCAGCGCCGGCTCTGCATGAGCCGACAGGGGAGATCCTGAGATCTCCCCTGCCGGTCTCAATACATAGGCGTGCCACAGGGATTAGGGTGTGCCCAGGCACACCCAGCACACCCCGTGCGCACGCCTATGGTGTCAAGTACATCTCACACTCTACAGCCACTTTCAAACACCTCCATGCACACCATACTTACTGAAGATAATGTAAAAGCCAGTCCAGGCCAGGAAAACTATAAGTTGGTGGGCCAGCATGTTGCCATTTATAAGCGGGCTATTAAAGATATGTAACATTTCTCCCAGTTGCCTTAGACTTAATGCACACTAAATTCTAGAATTTCTGATACATATGAAGACATCTTACAAGGCAATTCATACTAATAAATTATAATAAAAATGTGCTATCACCACAGAGATAAGTGTGTGAATAGAGTGTTAAGTATACTGTATAATGTATACTTATCTAGTAGTAAACAGGACAGCCTCCAACTGATCACCTCCCAGATGGTGATCTTACATCAAATAGGAATAGAAACAACAAAACATGGGAAATGACTGTATAATCCAAAAGAGAACACAAAAACAAAACATAGTGTATTACTGTTCCAAATTATATATGTGCGCTGGTAATTTTTTGCACTCACAAGATTTAAGATATAAACGCATTCAAGTACAATTGGACTTCCTCGAGAATCAAAAATCAATATGTGTAACAGCAGCATGCAACAATGACATACAGCAATAAAATAGCCTAACCCTCCTGTAACGGCACCCCCGGGCATAAAAGGGTTAAACCGCCGTTTAGAAGATCTTCCCCTTTCAGAGATGCAGGCACAGCTACTGTAGAATACCAAACTCTCGAGCCACATGTAAGGGAATGCTCCAAACTCCAGAACGGCATACAATATAGCACTCCAAACTCACGAACTGGAGCCATACGAATAGCTGCTAGCAGACGAAAAGGAAAAGCACCCAAGCGGCTTACACTCCTAGCAGTCAAACTGGAACAGCATACAATATATCCCCCCAAGAATGAGACAAGGCTCCGTTTTGGGGGTCAAGCAGTGGTCGGTTAAATGAGGGCTACCTGCCCAGTATTTATGCAAGTCTCCCACCTGGTGGACACTCCCCTAGGGGACCAAATGGGAGACTGTGCTGTGTGTGGGTGTGTGTGCTGTATGTGTGTGGGTGATTGTGGGGGTGGAGGTGGAGGTACATTACTTAATATCCCCCCTCTCTTCTTACCTTATGTAGGGAGGGGGGATTCTTGTTCCTGCTGCTTTCCCTGGTGGTCCAGTGGAGAGTGAACTCTAGCACCTGTATCGATAGAGTTCCCTCTCGCGAGATCTGTGACAAAGGACAGACATGAACCAATGACAGACACACAGAGGTAAAACATCCCCACAATGCATCCTAACTTCCCTCCCTCTGTCTTGGAGATAATTGGGAAGTAATCCAATTATCTCCCAGGGCAGAGGTAAAACTCCATTAACCACATGGTTACAGTAAAACACTAAAACACAATAAAATACACCATATTACATTTAACACACAAAATATATACTTGCAACCCATCCCCAGATAGCTGGGATCTGAGCGAACAAAAGTACAGAATAGCGCTCAGATCCTATGCACACAGTCCAATCGCCGTGGAGTTAAAGTGTTCCTAAAGTCTGTTCTCCATACGAATAGACTCCACGGGATGGCTATCTGGGGTAATGCTGTTCATACGGTTTAAACTACCGAATGAACAGGCATTCGATTAACTGACTGAATGCAGAAGCAAGGAGGCTGACGGCTCAGCGGTGTTCGCGCAAATAAGTGTCCGTTTACAGTTCCACAGTTTGGGCGCTGAACACCGCTGGCCATTCGGGACTTTAAAATGGCAACCGAACAAAGGCCACCCAGCATTAGTCAATTAAGCTGCGGTTAACCGCAGCTTCTGGGAGGTTAATTGCCGACACACTCCAGCTCCCAGGTGGTCCAGTCATTCGTGCGTTAGTTCGGTAGATTGAATCTACCGACCGCCAGGCAGAAAGGCACGAATAAGCCTTTTCTGCAGGGGAAAAGAAGTCTTTTAACATGGGGCCATAATCCAAAGGCAACAGGCGAGCAACCAGGCTTCTCCAATGCAATGTGGCGAGATTGGTCTCGTCACATCTCTCCCCTTTTCCTAACAGACTAACAGGGTATCTGACCTCCTGCCGGTCAGTACCCTTGTTAGTCCAGCAGCCCACCCACAACACACAATCAGTAATACAGCCCACCCACAATAACTGGTTACTACACCTGGGTAGAGGAGACGCTTGTCCATGTCCAGGTGCCTCACCACGGCTGTGTGGGTGACTGGTAAGCTGACTGGGTGGGTTGCTGAGTGGGCAGAGACCAGCGGTACTCTGCCCTGGTGCCAGCGCTACCACGGGAGTAGCCTGGTTGTTGGAGCCTGGTTGTTGGAGGGGGAGACCGACTGTCTTCTCTTTTGGCTAAACAGCCCTGTCGCTGGGGGGCAGAACCGACCGTCCCTACCCCCTGTGCTGTAAGTGCAGAGACCACGGTCCCATCTGCACAGTTGTGAGGCTTACTATCGCCCCCTGGTACGTTAAGCTGCCGCTGGGGAGAGGGGATAACAAGCTCCTCTCCCATACATACTTCCAGCCACGGGAGAAGGAGACCGACTATCTCTGCTCCCAATACAGAGTCCTGCTGCTGGGGAAAGGAGGCTGGGCTCTCTATTCCCTGTAGGACACTCTGATGCCCAATTCCCAATAAATTATACTGCCGCTGGGGAATGGAGACTGTGCTCCCAATTCCCTGCTTTATCTCCCGCTGGGGAATGGAGACCGGGCTCCCAATTCCCTTCAGATCACACTGCCGATGGGGAATGGAGACTGGGCTCCCAATTCCCTGCATATCACTCTGCCGCTGGGGAATGGAGACTGAGCTCCCAATTCCCTGCAGTACCTGCTGCTGGAGTTCCTCCCAACATGCCAGCTGAACTTCTCTTTCTGCCCGGTATTGCAGATTCTTGAACACTCGGCCCCTCGTGGACTGCACGTATTTCTCAGCTGGATTGGGTCCGAAGAACTTCAGCCGCAATTCCATCATATTGTCAAACTCTCTCCTTGAGTAGCTCTACTCCACTGCTGGTTCCATCCTGGTGCTGTCAGGGTCGCTGTACTCAGACATGCGTTGCCCTCAAATTGTAAAATCCATGGAATGGTGTCTCCTGTAGCTGTCCCTCTGGCTGTAGGAACGATCCCACCTCTTGCCACCAATTGTAACGGCACCCTCAGCATAAAAGGGTTAAACCGCCGTTTAGAAGATCTTCCCCTTTCAGAGATGCAGGCACAGCTACTGTAGAACACCAAACTCCCGAACCGCATGTAAAGGAATGCTCCAAACTCCCGAACGGCATACAATATAGCACTCCAAACTCACGAACTGGAACCATACGAATAGCTGCTAGCATACGAATAGGAAAAGCACCCAAGCGGCTTACACTCCTAGCAGTCAAACTGGAACAGTACAGAATATATCCCCCAAGAACGAGACAAGGCTCCGTTTTGAGGGTCAAGCAGTGGTCAGGTTTAATGAGGGCTACCTGCCCAGTATTTATGCAAGTCTCCCACCTGGTGGACACTCCCCTAGGGGACCAAATGGGAGACTGTGACAAAGGACAGACATGAACCAATGACAGACACACAGAGGTAAAACATCCCCACAATGCATCCTAACTTCCCTCCCTCTGTCTTGGAGATAATTGGGAAGTAATCCAATTATCTCCCAGGGCAGAGGTAAAACTCCATTAACCACATGGTTACAGTA